GAAACCAAGATTAGAAGGTAAGCGGAAAGCTGGGAAACAATTTTTACAGTCAGTGTCTTGATAAAGGCCTCATTTCTAAAATATATAGAGAACTGAGTCAAATTTATAAGAATACGAGTCATTCTCCAATTGATAAATGGTCAAAGAATATGAACAGGAAGTTTTCAGATGAAGAAATTAAATCTATGTATAATTATACGAAAAAATGCTCTAAATCACTATTGATTAGAGAAGTGCAAATTAAAACAACTCTGAGGTGCCACCTCACACCTATCAGATTGGCTAACATGACAGCAACAGCAATGGTCACTTACTACTGAAGACCCTGGTATAGCTGAATGAAGTGAGTAGAACCATAACACTGTACCAGTAACAGCAACATTGTGCGATGACCAACTTTGATAGACTTATGTCTTCTCAGCAATGCGATAATTTAAGAAAATTCCAAAAGACTCATAATGGAAAACATTCTCCACATCCAGAGAAAGAACTGTGGAGTCTGAATGTAGATCAAAGCATACTATTTTCTCTTTTTTTTCTTTCTCATGGTTTTTCCTTTTTGTTCTGATCTTTCTTTCACAACATGACTAACACAGAAGTGTGTTTAATAGTACATGTATAGCATATATCAGATTGCATGCCATCTTGGGGAGTGGGGAGAGGAGGGAGGGTGAAAAAATTTAGAACTCAAAATCTTATAAAAGTGAAGGTTGAAAATGAAAAATAAATATTTTTTAAGGAAATAAGGGGAAAAAATTTGGTTGCCTGGAAAAGTTCATCAATATTGTACATCAATTTCATGACAGCTTGCTTGCATAGGTTCTAGATAATGGATGATGATCCCCCACTTTCCAGGTCACCAATGGTGTGAAACAAAGCTGTATGCTTGCTCCCATGCTTTATAGCATGATGTTTTCAGCAGTGTTATTAGACACCTTCAATGAGGATGGAAAAAGCATAAAGATCAGCCACCACACTGATAGTAAACTTGAAAAGGCTATAAGCCAAGACTAAAATGGAGGGAGAATTGATGCATGATTTTTTTTTGTACTCGCAGATTATTGTGCACTCAATGCAGCCTCTGAAGTTGAGATGCACAAAGTATGAATTGATTCTCTGCTGCTTGTGTTAATTTTACCCTAACAAGTAACACCAAGAAAACACCGGTTCTCCACCATCCAGCACCATACCATCCATATGTAGAACCACTGGCTACAGAAAATTGAAAAAATATTGAATGCTGTGGGTAAATTCACATACTTTCCAGGGATGTATACATATATGATGAGGTTGATGTATCCATTGCCAGAACTAGCTCAGTGTTTGGGAGGCTCCAAAAGAAAATGTGGGAGAGAAAAGGTATTAGGCTGCCTACCAAACTGAAGGTCTACAGAGCTGTTGTGCTGACCTCATTGTTGTACGCCTATGAAACCTAGACAGTACACCAGAGTCTTGCCAGGAAACCGGATTGCTTCCATTTGAATTGTCTTAGGAAGTTTCTAAAGATTACCTGGCAAGATAAGATACCTGATCCTGAGGTCCTTTCTCAAACTGAACAGCCAAGCATTCAAACTCAACTGCAGAGTGCAACTCTGATGGACCAGCCACATTGTTCAAATGCCAAACATACATTTGCCTAAAAGACTATTTTACAGAAAACTCACACAAGGCAAGCACTCATATGGAGATCAGAAGAAGTGATATAACACTCTCGAGGTCTCTCTGAAGAACTTTGGAATTGAGGGGGTGGAGGCAAGATGGCAGAGTAAAGGCAAGGACTCTAAATACCTTTAAAAAATTAAACAAATTCTAGAGCAGAAGAACCCACAACAAAGATGGAGTGAAACCAATTTTCAGCCCAAGACAACTTGCAAGGTTGGCAAGAAAGGCCTGTTGCACCAGGGTGAGAGAGAAGCGCAGTACAGCACAGGCTGTGCCATGCAGACTGGACCCCTGCAAACCTGAGGCAGGCCTCAGGGTGACTGAATCACTGGCAGCAGTGGCAGTTTCCAGACCTCTCAGCCCAAGGATACCAAAGACGACTTAGAAGGTCAGCAGAAAAGGTCTGTCACACCTGAGTGAGAGTGGAATGCAGTCCAGCAAAGGCCCCACCAGCACAGCCCCAGCCACAGCAAACCAGGAGCAGGCTTTGAGAGTGACTGAATCAGCAGCGGCAGAGGCAGTGGCGGTGGCTGCAGCTGCTTCTGGAGCTCTCAGTCCACAGATGGTAAAGGGGTCAAACAACTGGTCAAAAGGAGATTACAAGGGTCTTTTTGCTAGCATTGAGGGGACTCTGTTGCTTTGTCCATACTCAGATCTGGGTTGTAATTCTGGGTGGCAGTCCCAGGGTGAGGAGGGGCACTGGCATAGCAGAGCTTGCAACCACAGTGGTCCTGTCTCCTCACAGTTCCAGGGCAGAAAACAGTTCATGTGGTTACTCACAGACCTGAGCACAGGCCAGGAGAATAATAAACACCGCTCCTTAGATCCTATCACCTTGAAAGAACTAAAACCTTAGAGGTCCCTGTAAGTGTCTGAAAACAGCTACGCAAAGCCCCTGAAACTTGGGACAGTGAGCCCTCCATCTGGAAGCAGAGCCGTACTTTAACAAAGAGTTAAAAGTCAAGTAATTTGCTGGGAAAATGAGCAAACAACAGGAAAAAAAAACTCTGACTATAGTGTCACTATGGTGACAAGGAAGATTAAAACACACACTCAGAAGATAACAAAGTCAAAGATCCTACAGCCAAAGCCTCCAAGAAAAATATGAATTGGTCTCAGGTCATAGAAGAGCTCAAAAAAGGATTTTGAAAATCAAGTAAGAGAGGTAGAGGAAAAATTGGGAAGAGAAATGAAAGTGATGCAGAAAATCAAGAACTGTGGAATGGTGAGACATGGGTGATGCTGGCACAGCATGGCATACCTACATCAAAGAAGGCACTGTACTCCATGAGCAAACCAGAATTGTAGTAGCTCAAAGAAATGTGAGATGCACAAATTTAGAGACATCTCTACTCCAAATGTTTAAATGAACTATTTGTGCCTGACCTACAGTAGAGCCTTTTAAGCTCATGTTGACTGGTCCAGTTAGTCACAGTCAGACCCACTGTACGTTGGCCCTGACAGAGTGATGTCATTTTGGTCCTCTTCAAGCACAAAGGACAACAATCGATTAATTCTGGACAAATTACTTAACCAGTTTTCTTATTTGCAAAATGAGGGTTAGATGATCTCTCCCATGCTTTTCTAACTATGCCAGCTGAGCATGAGCTCTGTCTGCTTCTATCATGGTGGAAAGACTTCAATTATTTCTTTCACTTTAAGTATCAGTCCTCAGAGACAAATCATGCTTTTCAGCAATCCAGATCACATGAATGAGAGAAAAGATATCTCCCATTTTCCAATGAGTGTGTATTCAGTAACATGGTTCTTCAAGTAAATTTTACCTCTTCTTCATTTGTGGGTCTTCCCAGGACTTGAAGAAAATTATTTATAGTATAGTAATTTACATTTGTGGGCAACTAGGTGACACAGTGTATAGAGCACTGGGCCTGGAGTCAGAAAGACCCAAGTTCAAATTCAGCCTTAGACAAATACTAGCTGTGTGACTGTGGGCAAATCACTTAACCCTGTCTGCCTCACTTTACTCATCTGTAAAACAAAAAGGAAACGGGAAACTACTCCAGTATTTTTGCCAAGAAAATCATAAATAAGGTCACAAAAAGTCAGATATGACTGAAATGACTGAACAACAACAATAAAACAACTTAATTGTGTGGGGTACTTTTGAGGGGCAGCAAGGTAGTGCAGGGGATAGAGCGCTGGGCTTGAGGTTTATCTTCCTAAACACAAATCTAGCCTCAGACATTAGCTGTGTGAACCTGGGTAAATCACTCAACCCTGTTTGCCTCAGCTACTCATCTGTAAAATGAGCTGGAGAAAGGAATGGCAAACCACTCCAGTACCTTTGCCAAGAAAACTCAAAATGGGGTCCAGAAAAGTCTGCACATTGAAACGACTTAACAATTTACATTTTTTAGTATCTGCTTTGCTGCAGCACCCTAAGGACCATGGATAGTTTCCATTTGATTTGCCGCTGAAATATTCTGTTACTCTCCCTCCATCAGAATACAAGCTGTTTGAGAGCAGAGATTGTCCAACTTTTTTATTTGTAACCCCAGCATTTTAGGACAGTGCTTTTGTACATAGTGAGCGATTAATAGCTTACGATCAGCTACGTGGCCGATGGACAAAGCGTGGATCTGGAAAACCTAAGTTCAAATCCAGTCTCGCTTTATTTTTATGCCATTGAACAAAACTCAGTTTCATTCCTTCTCTGTAAAATGGACATGATAATAATAATGACATGGCACCTACCTCCCAAGGTAGCTTTATGATATGAGACAACAGTTGTAAATTGTTTTTGCAAACCTTAATGTGCTATAAAATGCTAGCTATTTTTCGTAAACGCTTCATTTCATTCATTCATTCATTCATTCATTCATTTTGAGCCCCTAAACCTGAATGGAGGTTTAGAGCTAATAATTTCAGATACGCTCGGAGCACAGCGCCTAGCACATAACAGGCGTCTAATAAATGTTTACCGAGTGAGTGAATAAATGACCGAAATCCTGGGGTGCAGGCCCCTCCGGAAGGGGCCAAACCTAGCTTGCCCGCGCCTGCTCAGAAAGGCTTGGGTTCCCTCCTCCTACTTCCCCCCGACACCCCAGGTCTGGGGACTAAACACTGGGGCCCAAGCCCTACAAAACAAGAACAGACACAGAACGCGGAGACGCCCGATGCTCGCGGCAATCAGGGCGCCGTTCTCGAGGAGAGGCCCCAAGGAGCGAGAGGCGAAGCGGTTGGGGTCCTGGGCGGCGACCGGCGGCTGGCGGTGGAACGGAGTGCCGGAAGGGGGCAAGGCCTGGCCGGGACAGGAAGGCTCCGGCGGATGGGACTAAGAGGGAGACGCTGCAACGGGGCAGGGGCGGGGCACTCACAGGTCCAGGAGGTGACTGACCCGCCGGGAATGTGGCATGGCGGCCTAAGGACTGCCCGTGAGCCTCCGATCCAATTCCCTCAAAATCCCAAGGTAGCCGGGCCACAGTCCTGATACTCCGCCCCTCCCATCGCGGGACCGTGGCTGACGTCAGCGACATTCTTTCTAGAGGGCGGAAGCAGCTGGGGGAAAGGGGTGGGGCCATGAAAAGAACCCGGACTGTTGACGGCCCTACCCTCGTAAAGCCTCATGGTAATTGTAGTCCAAGCGTTGGCTTTGAAGGCTACCTAAGGGAAGGCTTTGAAGGCCACCTAAGGGAAAGAGCATGGGATTTGTTGACAGCATATTTGGTTTTGAATCTCGGCCCTATAAATTACTAATTCTTTTGACAAATCACTCAGCCTCTTCTATCAGTTTCTTCTGTAAAATTCTGTAAGATTTTGGATTAGATGAGCTCTACTGACCTTTCTTCTCCATTCATATTCTTTGGTTTTATTTTTAAAATTAATTCTTAAACATCCACAAGCTAAATATCCACCTTCTTTGTCTCCCTACCCATTCTCCCCCCCCAACTGAGAAATCAAGAACAACAAAAGTCCTGTTACAAACAGGTATAGTCAAGTAAAACAAACTTCTACATGGGCTGGGTCCCCCTCCAAATATGCTTCAATCTGCACTTACTCATTCAGCTCTCTCTATGAGCAGAGTGATATGAAGAAACATGTTTCATCCTGAGTCCTCTGAAATCATGGTTGATCATTACACTTAGAGTTTCGAAGTCTTTCAGAGTTATTAACCTTATAATATTTTTATCTTTGTTTAAATTGTTCTCTTGTTTCTGTTTACTATACTCTGCATTAGTTCATATAAGTCTTCTCAGGTTTCTCTGAAACCTTTTGCTTTATAATTTCTTACAGTTGTTATACAAACCCCAGACTCAATTCAGAATTCAGCCCAACACTGGACTCGGTGAAATCCCCAAACAAGAGTTAGCTGGATCATAAAGAAATCACAGTTGTGGAGTGACAGAACAGAGAATTGGGTGTGTTCCCTCATTGGAATCACACACCTATACTGGAGCAGGGCAAGCAGTTATATGGGATTACTTGGCTTTAATCCCTAACTTGTCCCAACATTCCTGCATGTCCCATTTAACATCTGTGTTTGCAATGCAATGTCTATTGTTTCTATAGAGTCCGTGAAAACCAGTCTCCCCCCATCTTGTTTACATATTTGTGTAAACCAGTAAACCAATAAACCAATAAATCAATCAATAACCTAATCTCCCCCTGTCCTGTTTTCTTATCAATTCTGTGGGAATGAAACTGTTAACATTTTCTGTTTCTGCTAGCTTATAAAGAATAAACAGCACATATACAATCTAATCTAAAGCCCTCCCCAAGGACCTTAGGGGTGCTTTTGATGAGGTCTAGAGGTTAGGGGTCCTGGAATCCCAAAATCACGACACAAGAGTCCTGCCTGAAAGAATTCAACCCAAGCCTTCGTTCAGCCAAAAACAAGGTTTATTGAAGATTCACCATATTAGCTAGACTTTTAAGGAATCTGACCATCTGTGGGCTATTGGCTAGATTGTGAAAATCTGCACAGTGGCTAGATTATAAGAATCAGAGCAGTGGCTAGATTTTAGGAGTCCCAGAATCTTGATGGAGACAAGATGTACCTTATATATAGAAAGATTGTGGGAGGGATCTAGGAGTGGCCAAGTAGTTTGGGGTGACTGGAGGAGAGGCCTAAGGAGATCTGGATGGGAGTGGCCAGTAAACTGGGGTGAGCAGAACTCCTGGGGCCTGGACAATAGAGCCTAGCTAGGATTAAGTGTGGGAAATGGCTGGGGGGGACCATAGGAAGGGCTAGGCTAGATTAAGGGTAACAGAATTGGGAGATTGGGTGTAGCCACAATGAAGGACAGGTTGATGGGATTACAGCCTCAGGGGAACACCAGAGATTTGGCCTTGTGGGAAAGTCCATGGTTTTTCCTTTTGGGGGTCTGGATCCCATCCTCCTCACTCTGAGGAAAGTTTGCAGGATCCAATCCGTATCTGCCTCTCTCAACTAAAAGAGGTGTCCATGGTAATAAAGGGCCACCCTATTGCTGCCTTGATGGGTATAGAGACTACTCTGTCAGTCCTGGATCCTTGGAAATTCCTCCTCCATACCTTTCCTCAAAGTGATGATAGCCTTTTGGTGGTGGTGTTTCTAATAAGCTTCTCTGAGCTTTTTGGACTTTCCCTCTGCTGTCATTCAAAATTAGGAAAAATTAGACTTGTATATTTGTCTCTGTGTCTGTGTCATGTTTGTGCTGTGAACTAGATTCTATTACCTTGATGACTTAAACTGTAGCTGACCAGAAAAGCTTCCAAGGGCTGGAGTTAAGATTTATTAAGAGTACTAACTTTCACCTTTAGCTTTCTGTGGAAGATTAGGTTTGAAACACCTCCTCACAATCCTGATCACTCAGCATTCCCCAGTCCCTCCCCTCAGAGTCGAGTGTATTTCTGTATGGGGACTGCTGATAGCCCATGTCTCCCTGTTAACCCCTGATAATCATTTAAGATCAATTGAGCCCCAATAAGAGCCAAAAACCTGAATTAATCTTTTCTCTCTGAGTGAACTAAAAATGCCCCTACCTTTGTCAGCAACTGCGGGACCAGCTGGAGCCAATCAGCACTCTTCCTGTTTGTGATCACTAAGCACAGGATACCTGGGAGCAGACATTCTCTTGAATAGTGGGACTTTTCTTATCTTTATATCCTACGTGTGTGGAATGCAACCTAAAAAGAAACACTTAGAGGTATCTCAAGGTAGGAACAGAAAGTTTATTTCAGTCCTCGAGGATCGAGTGTTACTCCACCAGTATGCTCTGATGAAGGGAGACAAAGTATAGAAGCAGAAAGCCAGGTTAAATAACTCTAATGAGAAAAAATTCCCCCTCCCACCAACTGACCAATATTTGGTTTACAATCTAAGCGTGAAAATCTACCCCCAGAGACAGAGAACAAAGAAACAACATACATATCCGTATTTAGCACCTTAGTTTGCTGCCAAAACGAAACAATTTAGAATGTGCAATCAAGCTAGACGCTGCTGTGGCAAGGTCACTGTGACGGGAATGTAACAACAGGATAGGTGGGGGGTGTGTGTGTGTTTCAGGGGTTTCAGGCTTGGCAAGCTTTAACTACTGATGTGGCACTGGGAGAAAAGGGGAACTATAGAAATCTATACTTATCCTATTCTGCCTCCTGAACTTATCTTCAAATTCAGGATAATCTTCTCCCAAACCTTAATTACACTGAGAAGTCTTCATAGGGACATCCCACTCATATGGACATATGTTATGCAGGGGAAACACAGATATCCTGGATCTATAATTTCAACTGACACTTTGACATTCACCTATTTTATTGTATTTACAACATGTTCAACTAAGAAACTTCCTTTCCCATGCTATATGTTAAAAAACATATGGAGGCTATATATAAATATATATATATGTATTTTATATATATGTATATATATTTTAGTAACACAGACATCCTGAGTCAGGGTTTAAATGTCCTCCTAAAATTGCTTGATTCAGTCAGAGTTAAAACTCTAGCTCCATATACATGTTGCTAACTTAAGGGATAAACAATATGAATTTACTTATCACCTAATTTGTTGCCTCTTTAACCAACTTTCAGGTCGACACCCCTCATATCTCAGATCAGATTAAGAAAAGAGAATGCTGGAGAATTGTAGGGAAACTTGAATCACTCTTCTCCACCTAGGAGGAGGCAGCAGCCACAGTGGGCCTCACTGACAGTGGCCCCAGTGACCCCTGTGTCCCTGGGCATCCTGCAGCCTGCCCCTCTAGGCAAGCTTGGGGGGGTATCACCCAGGTGTAGTCCATCCTGCCCACCCTGCTCCAGCAGCTGCAAGTGGCCCCAGGCCCAGCAGCACCTGCAGTTGTGGGGAGGAGAAAGGGTCAGGCCCCATGGCCAGCATTCCCTAAGCCCTACCACAAGGAATTAGCACCAATGGGAAAGTCCTGGCACCAGCCACTGCAGCCCCAAGCAGGGCCCTCTACGGCACTCCTTTTCTCCCACCACAAAGCCCAGTTGCTGCATGGAAGAGTCTGGGTGCCTCTGGCAGCACCTAGCCAGGCAGTAATGAGGTATGGGAGCCAGCCAGACTCTGCTCTTGGTAAGCCCACCTTTCTCTGTTTCAGTTGCAGAAATGCATCAACTATGTAATTTATGGTAAGTTATTTTATCTCTGTTTCCTGATTTGTAAAACGAAAAATAATAATGGTTATTGTTGTGAGATCAAGATGATAAAATCGTTGTAAAGTGCTTAACGCAGTGACTGGCATATGCTAAATGTTATCTGTATCAATATCACGAATTCTATGAAGCCATTGCTGAATTAGGAAGCTTTATTCATGACCTGGGAAGGTCAGGTGTCCCATATGTGTGAGCACACATGTGAGAGCATATATATCGACAAATGCACACCTTTTTATTCCCTATTCCCCATTCAAATTTCCTTCCCCTGTTTCTCCATTCACTGGGTACTTTAGAGGTTACAGCCTACCCCAAGTGCCTGATTTCCCCATGTGAGTCTCCGCCACTAATTACATCTCCCACTCCCCACAATTCAGAGACCAGAGCCCTTACTTGGGAATACCCCTTTTTATGTTAACCTCAGAACTAGTTTTCCCACCTGTTAGTCTATTCACCACCAAGAGTGTTTTCTAATACAACTCCCTTTGTTCAACGTCCACCTAGCCCCCAGACTGCATTCCTTTCTACTTGACTTTTGTGGAAATAATAAAAAAAAAACTTTCTCACATTCCCTCCCAGTTTAAACTGACTCCAGCCTCTAAGTGAGTGATATGCAGAAGAAATATACATATATTTCAAAATCCCTCCTTTTTCTTTTCTTCACTCTTTTGGTGCAGCTGCATCTTAATTCACTATGTATTCTAGTTTTGATTTAGATGAGGATAAAAAACAGCAAATAGTATCTAAACTGAAATTCTTTGAAGTTTCAAAATTGGAGAACCAAGTTTAAACAATTGTACTAAATTATTCTAAGTCAGAATTATCTAGGAATTTCTAAATTCAGAACCAGAGAAGGAGAACCCCTTTAGATCTGTCCTGAGAATAGTCTATTTTCCAAGAAAAGATACCTAAGGACCAGATACTATATGAGACATCTGGGACTCAAAAAGTGTTGGTTAAATGGACATTGAGAATAGGTTACTGGGATACAAGGAGACTTGGTATTAGTTAACATTGGTAATAATGATTGTATTGCTTTGCATGGTTTATATTTAATTTTTCTTGTTTACCTTAGTGACATATAAATCTCCCTTCTCAAAACTAGTCCATTGTAAGCCCTCTTAAGTAGTTTGATCTGCTCCTGACTTAATGTAATTGAGTAATTACGGGAACTGTGAGAACAGTTTTATTATACTGTTTGAACCTAGGCCTGCATGGCTGGGAAACTAGACCACCTCTATATGCATTTAATCAAGGACTATGTTAAACTGATCAGAAACTTTGATCCAAAGATTGATACAAGGAGTCTTCTCTCAATTGTCAACCCATATGTCTTCTAAAGGCCCCTACTAGGTCCTTCTGATTACTGCCACAGCTGCCAACTTGTGGATGTGGACTCCTGGATCATCTGAAGATGGTCCCTGCTCCTAGTAGATGCATGAACCCATTGGAGGACTTGCCCTTTGGCTCCATGAGGGCCTGAAG